CTGCACGGCCTCCCCGCCCAGCGGCTGCAGCATGAGGGCGGCCACCGAAGCGTCGTGCTTGCGAAAAGTGCGCATCACGCCGCCCAGATCCACATCGCCCACCACGTCGCCCGACATCACCAGCACGTCGCCCTTCAGCCGCTCCTGCAGCTCGGGCATCCGCAAGCTGTCAGCCGTCCCCAGATCCTCGCAGCTCTCAGGCATCGCCACAAACTGCAGCCGGATCGTCAGCGGCTGGCGCTCCATGGCGCCCTGGATCTTCTCCAGCTGCTGCGCCTGCACCACCACCAGCGCCTCTGAAAGGGGCCCCCCGATTAGTCCACCCGGGCTCGCGCTACACATGGTTCACTCACCAGCGAATCCGGCGTCTTGCAGCTGCAGCAGGGGGTACCAGAGAAGCGGGTGCGGCCCCACCGGCAGCAGGCTCTTGGGCTGCGCCGCCGTCAGCTCCAGCATGCGGGAGCCGCGCCCCCCGGCCAGAACCACTGCTTGGAACTCCGCGTTGATTGGCATGGCGACACAGATTGTTGATTTTTTGTGAGGTTAACCCCGGACTCTTCGCCCTAGAGATGACGCGAAGTACTTCTTCTTCTCCTGTTCCGTGTGTGTCATCCCTGCTTCACATCAACTAGCCGTTAAGACAAGGACAGGCGAGGTGAAGAAGGATGCAGCAGAGGGCAGCGGGAGCTGACTGGGATTGGTTTCTGGTCGTGGGGCCTTGAAACGCTGGCGCTCTGTACATCCTTTACATTGTATTATATTCTAATTAATGCTATGTACATAAGGAGGTGGGGGCGGCCGGGCCGCCCCCCACGTTTGAGGTCTATCACAAGTTACACTATATACAGTGGGGTGAATGGAACGCAGAAGAACTAGCTGGAGCGCTAGGAAACAGTCATGCAGGAGATCAGCTGCTGGCAGAGCTGGCTGTAGACGAGATGGTCGCCCGAGATGCGGCGCAGCTTCAGCCCCTTGGAGTCGCGCGGCTTCTCCACCACCTTGAGCTCGATCTGGATGCCGCCCTCGTACTCCAAGCTGAGCCGATCGTTCACGTCGTTCAGGCTGAGCAGCTGCTTGGGCTGGATCTGGTCGTGGATGGTGCGCTTCACCATCTCCAGGATGTCGTTGGCGTGCAGCTTCGAGCAGAAGTCGCTCAGCTCGAACTCGAACGAGCCGGACGAGGTCTTGTGGGGGGCGCCGCCCCCGTCGGGCGGCTCGCCCAGCTTCAGCTTCAGCTCCTGGAATATCTGGAAGTGCTGCGCGGGGCCGCCCGCGTTGCTCAGCTCGCGGTTCAGCTGCGCGCTGTCTATGGCGCGGCTGCGGTAGTCGCCCTCGCACGCGTGGCTCGACTGCGTGTTGCTCGAGCTGCTCGGGCTCTGGTTGCCGATGCTCACGCTGTCGTTGGACAGCGAGTCGTCCGAGTAGCAGGAGCTGCGCCGCAGCTGCAGCTGCAGCTCCTCGGAATGTGGGGCGGGCGCGCCGCTGGCCTCCCCCTCCTGGCTGGTCTTGCGCCCGATGCCGCGCGTTATGCTGGGCGTGTTCTCCAGCGGCTCGCTGATCACGAAGGAGGGGATGCGCGCCACGCGCCCCCCGCCCTCCAGGCTGTCCATCGAGTCCTCCGACGTGTCGGAGCCGGCCACCAGCGTGATCTCGCTCCCTGCAACTCACATGGCGGCGTAAACTTCCACCCCACACGACAACAACGGGAAAGAGGGGGAAACTCACCTAGAACGTCGGTGACGGAGATCTGGGGGTGGCCCTCGGGCTTGGGCGGAAAGGGCGGCGCCAGCTGGGCGGCCTCCTCCTGGATCATGTCCAGGCCCGGACTGCCTGGATTGCTGATGGGCGAGTTGGTGAGGCTGCGGTGGCTGTGCACGTTCAGCACGTGCATGTGGTGCGCGCCCTGGTGCAGGAAGGCGGCCACGTCGCCGCCCATCTGAGTGGGCGTGCCCTGCGTGATGGAGCCGCTGCCC